TTGGTTGTCTTAATAACAGAGAAAGAGCAATTAAAAAAGCAATACCATAAGATGTGCTGTTTTAGCAATTACAAATGCATATTTATGACAAAAAAAAAACAGCTGTTCTAATCTTATTTGAATGACTTTGGACAAAAGCTCAGTGACTGATTTGATTCCAAAAGTCCTGTATCTCAAACACTTTAGAGGAAATTAAAAGTTACATATAACTATGTAAAAGAGGCATCTCTCACAGGACTTCTGTTGGCAGACTGAGGTCTGAACTGTTGCCCCTGATCTGTACCACATCCCATCCTTCTCAATTGCCCTGACCACTGGATTTTTTAAAAATTCTCCTATTATGCTGTGTATGTGCCCCTTTGGATTTGATGCACCTATTTTGACTTCATAACTGCATTGCTGGGTTCTCTGCTGCAGCGACTGCCTCTTTATCCGTAGGGCATCTCTGAACCACCTTGGTAACTCCACCTCTAGACTGACTCAGTCTGTCCCACTGGGACCCTTTAAGTCTGGAGCCTAGGAGGGAGCTGAAAAGGTTTTTACCAGAGGTGGAGTCACCTTGAGGGTAATGAAGGTTACATTCAGGATTCCACACGGTCCTCGGTTGTAGAATGTTCTCAGTGGAGAGCGGAAGCCAGTTGCAGTCAGGGACAATTTCTCTGTAAGCATTTCTGGTGTTCCGGAGGTCTCAGAGAAAGGAACTCTAAGGTGCTAACATGTTATGATGATTTCTTTTACATTCTAAGTAAATATTTACTTTTGCACCTAGTTTTGCATTTCTGACTTTGCATTCTTATTCTTAGAGAAGACCACCGAAGTTGTATGTGCTCCATGACACCCCAAAATCTGGATCTCCTGCTGTACTATGTGCTCAGTTACTAAGTTCTGTCTGACTCTTTGAGACCCCATGGACTGTAGCCCACCAGGCTCCTCTGTCCATGGGATTTTTCAGGCAAAAAACTGGAGTGGATTGCCATTCCCTTCTCCAGGGGCTCTTCCCAACCCAGGGATTGAATCTGCATCTCCTGCTTTGTCAGGCAGATTCTTTACCCTTAACTGTCCTGGGTAGCCAGGATCTGCTGCTGAGTTTTACTAAATTAGATGCCTGGATGTTTTGCTAGTACTTATTTCCCTGAATTTAGTAATAAATAATTTATGTGAGTAAATCTACACTGAATAGAATGTAAAGAATCCCCAAATCATTCTAAAACCAATGCTTTGGTAGTTCTTTTACAAGAGAACTGGAACTTTCTGGCAGACAGTATATTTTAATATATTATTATTATATTCCTTGAGAGCGTCCCTGGTGGCTCAGTTGGTAAAGAATCCGCCTGCAATGCAGGAGACCTGGGTTTGATCCCTGGGTTGGGAAGATCCCCTGGAGAAGGAAATGGCAACCCACTCCACTATTCTTGTCTGGGAAATCCCATGGACAGAGTAGACTGGTGAGCCCCAGTCTGTGGGGTTGCAAATAGTAGGACACGACTGAGCATTTAACATTTCATTTCAATATTATATTAATATGTTAATTGTTAATTGGGGTCACAAAAAGTCAGACATGACTTAGTGACTGAACAACAATAATGTGTTAACTATGTTTTTTATATTATTATATATTCATTAATAGCAATATATTGATATATTAGTGAATACCATAAAACTGGAGGTCAGATTCTGAATTCAGTTCAAGTCTACAAGCCTTGGTGAAATGCCTACTATGTGTGATGAAGGTTCTGGGCCAGGTTTTTTATTTTTCCCATAGAATTTGAATTCAGTTTGAGAGTCATTTGAAATTCATTGCCTTACCAGTGTAGTATTTTTAGGTCCTTGGAAATACAATAGTAATTCTCTTTAAAGATGTAAGAAATTGGAGCCAATGTGATAAATATGATTAAATGCCAAGGAACAACAATTATAAATTGTTGGCACCAGTCATTTGATGTACTCAGAAACAAAGAGGCTTGTCAGTCTGCCAGTGCTAGGAGTTTCAGTGTAGAGGCTGTAAAATGAAAAGTATCCTTTATCTTTTTTTGTAAATAGTTTCTTAGATGATGGCCATGGGTAACTTAGGGATAGCTGTTTTCAAACCAAGAAACCCCATATTGAAAATGAACTACTTCATGTTCATCATTTCATCATTCTCTTAAAATGTGTTGTTACATTAGTATCAAATACTTGTGTTTGAGAAATATCATAGTATTCCTAAAAGACATGTCAGTATATAATGTCAGATATTGATATTGATATGTCAGATATTGATATAATGTCAGCTATTGATAAATGTTTTCAAGAAAAAACATTCAGAGAAGGAAAGAGACTGATGGTTGGGGAAGTGCTGTTTTAGAAAGGTTGTGCTGCCTTCCTAGCTATTCTGTGAGTGTACCAAGCATATCCCCATCTCAGGGCCTTTCCACTTGCCATTGCTTCTGCCTAGAATGCTTTCTAAGAATTGCATCAGTTATTTTTCTCACTTCAGGCTCTGACCACCCTGTCGAAGGTAGTCCCTTACACCATTCTTTTCCTTTTCTCTCTTCTTCATGTGTTCCTCACTATCTGACCCTGGGAACCGAAGAGACTGAAAGAACTCCTTTGATAAATTCTTAGCTGTCTGAACTCTAACTACCTGCTCTCTGAAACTCAGAAATTGAAGACTTTTAAGATGTTTCTTGCTATTTGATCTGGATATATCCAAATCAAGAACCAAGTGCATCGAAACATGTATATCTAGGGTGAAACAGATCACCAGCCCAGGTTGGATGCATGAGACAAGTGCTCGGACCTGGTGCACTGGGAAGACCCAGAGGGATCGGGTGGAGAGGGAGGTGGGAGGGGGGATCGGGATGGGGAATACATGTAAATCCATGGCTAATTCATTTCAATGTATGACAAAAACCACTGCAATGTTGTAAAGTAATTAGCCTCCAACTAATAAAAATAAATGGGGAAAAAAGAAAAAAGAACCAAGTAATTCTGTATAGAAAGGAATGCTTGTTTTCTTTGCAGTACTTTTTACTCTTTGTCTTTCTGTCTATCTGCCTGTCTCCCTCACTAGAACTTTAGTTGCTTGGTGGATGGGACTTTGTTTTTTTCATTGCTGTCTATTCATCTATTCATCACCTGGAACAGTGCCTGGAATCATTTCTTGGTAAATATATGTTGAATAAATGTGTTAAAACATAAATGAATCCATCAAACCCAATATCATATTTTAAGAATATGTGATTTTATGGAAAAGGCTTATTTCACATTATTAAGTTTTAAGAAGCAGGATACACAGTATAATTTCCATTTCCTTTTAAAATATTTTAAGTATTTGCATGTATGTATTTATTCATTCATTCCTTGAAAGAAAATTTGAGCGTCTCCTATATGTTCATTCTATATTAGATTTTCTAAGTCATCTACAGTTTCATGAGAAGATAGATACTGAAACAATAGTAAATGAATGCCATCTTTCCTCTTGCACTGCTCTTCAGCTATGTTGATCTTTCAGTTTCTCTCACTAACCTTTTTGCACAGGTTATATCATTTTGTATTGAATATCTCTCTCCCTCTGTATTGTAAATTCTGTGAGACTAGGGCCCATGATACTATTCAATTATTGAATAGCTATTGCTCAATGCCTGGTATATAGTAGCTACTCAGTAAACATTTGCTGGTTGAATGAATGAACAAATGATTAGAAGAATTTTTCCTACATAATAGGAACACCATATCTAATCTTTAATGAAAGTTATGGGAAGTAACTTTCAAGCTGAGGCCTCAAGAATGAGGAGGAATTAACAAGTAAAGAAGACCAGGCAGAAGTTCTAAAGCTTAAGCTTAGCCTTTATTCTAAAAGCGATAGAGGAGTTTTAAACAAACAAAAAAAAAACACTGCACTATCACATCATTTTTTTCTGTGGTATTAAGAATAGACTTGTGTGGGCAATGCTGATACAGGGAAATTGGTTGGGAGATTTTGGTGATAAATGACTGTGGTTCATGTTGGGTTCTTGGCCATGCAGAAAAAGTGAATACATTTCAGAGATTTTTTAGAAAGCATAATATAAATGGTGAGGGAAAGTTAAGCATGATCCCAAGTCTTCGCATTAGGCACCTGAGAGGACCCTGCGGCCTTTTGCTGAAACTGGGGATTCGTAAGAAAGAACCATTTGAGGGGAAAAGAGCTTGAAGTACCCTTGATGGTGGTGGTGGTTTAGTCGCTAAGTTGTGTCTGACTCTTGGGACCCCATGGACTGTTGCCTGCCAGGCTCCTCTGTCCATGGGATTTCCCAGGCAAGAATACTGGGTTGGGTTGCCATTTCCTTCTCCAGGGGACCTTGCTGAGGCAAGGATCGAACCCAGGTCACCTGCATTGCAGACAGATTCATTAAAAACCGACTGAACCACTAGGGAAGCCCCGAAGTATCCTTGATACCTGTCTAATTGAGGCTGAGCATTTTTCTAGGTATAGATACTTAGAAAAGTGCCTGTAAAGAAATAATCAAATGTTTATAGTTTGGAAGTCTAGTTATATTTATAAAATTTTCTTATCAAGTTTCAGTTTTCATTATTAGTGTGTTTTATGAAGGAAAAGTAATAAACATTGAAAACTATAGTAGGATCTGCTACAGGAAGCATTACTAAAAACTCAAAGGACAAAAAGCTAAGACTTCCTTAGGTAAAATTAGGGCTGTTCTCAGTGAAAATAGATTATTGGTCCTGAAGTCCATTGTGCAGTAGGATCATCATTATGGTATGTGTGTGTGTTTTGTGGGATCATTTGAGAATTTAACCTTATTAGTCAGAGAAGGTCTGCTAGAAGCAAAGATGGTTTCTTATACATCCATGGTTTCTTATACATCTATATCAGTCCTCAGCATAGTCCCTGGAACTTAGTAATAGCTCAAGTGAAAGCTATTATTTTAGATTTGTTATTAATTCATTTTTTTTGTTCACATCACTATTCACCACATTTGTTTTTACAGTGATATTATTTGTGTCACCTTGGTTTTTAGGTAGATTGGGGTCAACTGGACTATCTGGTTGTTGACATGCCACCAGGAACTGGAGACGTGCAGTTATCAGTCTCACAGAATATTCCCATTTCAGGTAACTCTTACAGTTAAATGGAATTTGTGCTATCCTTGATGTTTTGTTATTGTCATACAGTAAAACGAACTATGACAGGCAAACATTTTTGTGTCTTAGAAACATTATCATTTGTAAATTTACCGTTAGAGACCAGATTCATAAACAAAAGTTTCAAAGAACTGCCAGAATAAGCATGTTTACAAAAATATAAAGAAAGACACTTTGAAAAGGTAGTGATGTGAGTCTGTGTTTTAGAGAAGAAGAAGCAAAGTATTATTTAGTTAAAACCTGGCTGTTTGGTTCACAGTTGTTCAGCACTTACAGCATAGTGCCTGATATGTGGCAGGCACTCAGTAATATTTATTGAATAAATATTGAATAAGAATAAATACTGGGAAACTTTGGCTTTTTGATAAATACAATTATGGGAAAATTTTATATCCTGCCAATTAGTTAATGTTAAAGTTGAGAGCAATAAATGTTAGTTTATGTCAAATACAAAATACACAACACTTCAGTATGGTAGTGGATATCTTTTTATGCAGTGAAATTTAAATATTAGTATTAGCTTTTATATGGAATCTGTTTCTAAGGATTTTCTAGATTCCAGTGCAGAAATAGTTGTAAATCTCTTGTAAATCTCTCTTATATACATATAAGGACTTTGTGGAAAATAATGGAATTTTAAAATGTCTTTTCAAATCCATTATTTGTTGGTAATAAATAACCAGGAGATATCATGGACAGTCACCAAAAAGTTTAGAATCTATGTATTTGATGATATATATGCATTCTTAGAAAGTATCATTATGATGTTACTAATAATTATGACTGCTTTTGATATTTTAAATAGATTTATAACTTTTCTGGAGCCTGAGGCTTTTACTTTGTTGGGGAAAATTATAATGCATGAGATGGGAGTAAAGTGCAGTAAAACAGGAAAGTAATTTGTCCTTTCTGTAGTCAGAGTTCTAAATAGTCTGTATTTTTTTCTTTTTAGAGTAGTTTTGGTACTTTTATTTTTTAAATATCAAGAGTGATCACTAAATGTTTATTGAATAAGTTGTACTCCTTGAACTTTGAAATGCCTGTTGCAAGATTCCAAAACTCTTATTTTTGTGGATAATATTGATAAAGTTGGACTAAATTATTATTTATTCCCTGAGTTGTGAATTGGTACCTCGAAAAAGTTTAATTTACTTCTCACAGATAAACTGATGTCCCTAAGCAATTTTCCTTTGTTTATTCAGATAATAGCCCCTCTGTGTGGACAGGATTTATGATTATATCACCCTGTTTAATTTGTGCTTATACTCTAAAACAGTGTGTAGATTGGGGTTAAGATTTACTGCTCCTTTGAGAATTTCTTTCTAATATCCTAAAATTTAACTAGTATCTCTATTTCTTACCTTTGATGAAAAGTCTACCCTCTAATGGGTAATTAATGTTAGATGAGAATAAAAAGCAGTATTTTTAGAATTTGGTCAAATGTGCATGACGATTCAGTAGCACTGTGTACATTCACACTGTTGTGCGGCCATCACCACCATCCATCTCCAGAGCTTTCTCATACTTCCCAAACCAAAACTCTTTACCCATTAAACAATAACTCTGAATTCCCTCCTACCCCTTGCCCCTGGTAAGCACCATTCAGAAACAGTATTTTTTACAGTAAGATGAGAGAATGATTCCAGAATGAGGAAAACATATTTATAAGATTGCATTAGACATAAACCTAACATTGATTTTATGATTTATTAATAAATTTTAATTATTTTTTTAAAGTGAAGAAACAGTGTTTACTTCTTAATTTTGTTGTCATTCTTAAAATCTGCCTTTGGGAAAAACTCATCAACTTATTTGCTGTACTCCATAGTAGGTAGCTGCTGCTGCTGTTGCTACTGCTGCTCCTTCAAGTTTTTGTTTACATTTCTCTTTTGTGCCTTTTTATTTTTTATTGAAGTATAGTTGAGGTTGCAAAGCAACAAATGCTATCCATATGAAAGTAGGTGCTTAGTATTGTACAGGATCCAGGGATGGTTAAATCAAGTCTTTCCCCTAGACAAGTGTTCCAAACCTTTTTTTGATTCTTGGGTCTTTTTTTGATAATTTAATGTATAAATGGAAATGTATTTGTACCTACAGAAACACAATTTTTATGTATAATTTCAGAAGGTTTGCTGTCCTCAGATTAAAAGTCCCATCTGAATTCTTGTACACTGTTGATGGGAATGTAATTGATACAGCCACTCGGAAAGACAGTAGGGAGGTTTCTCAAAAAACTGAAAATAGAACTGCCATATAACTCAACAGTTCCACTCCTGGATACATATCTGAGAGAAATGGAAACACTAATTCAGAAAGACAAACACATCCCAATGTTCATAGCAACATTATTTACAATTGCCAAGATATGGAAGCAACCTAAATGCCTGTCAATAGATGAATGGATAAAGATGTGGTGAGTATGTGTATATATATATGTATGCATATGTGTATACACATACACACAATGGAATACTACTCAGCTGTTAAGAAAACAATGAAAACTTGCCATTCCCAACAACATGGATGGACTTGGAGAATATTGTGCTAAGTGAGAGAAGTCAGACAGAGAAAGACAAATACTGTACAATGTCAGTTTTATGTGGAATCCCAAAAATACAACAAACTAGTGTATATAACAAAAAAGAAACAGACTTCCAGATATAGAGGATAAACTAGTAGTTACTAGTTGAGGGAGGGAAGTGGAGAGAGGCAGTATAGCGGTAGGGAATGGAGATACCAAATATTATGTATAATATAAGCTACAAGGATATTATATTTTATAATACCTATAAATGCAACATGGGGTTTTCAAGACAAGAATACTGGGGTGAATTGCCATTTCTTCCACCAGGGAATCTTTCAGACTCAGGGGTTGACCCACATCTCCTGTGTCTCCTACACTGGCAGGCAGATTCTCTACCACTGAGCCACCCAGGAACCCCTATATATATATAAATAATATATATATTATATATATATGTATGTATGTAGGAGAAGGAAATGACAACCCACTCCAGTATTTTTGCTGGAAAAATACCATGGACAGAGGAGCCTGGCACACATGGCTAAAACCACTGAGTGTGAGTGTGTGTGTGTGTGTGTGTGTGCGTGCAGCCAGCACAGCAGGTAGGGATCGAAAGTGATCGACGCAGTTTGGGAAAAAGAAACTAGAGACAGAATTAAGGTTTAAAGATGGGATGGGTGGACTCAAGACCTCTTAGATCAAGAGCCCTGTTCCTGGGAGCCACATCACTTTTATTTATTGTCTTGGCAAGCAGAAAGTATCTTTTGTGTTGCAATGAAGTCAGCCTCCTGTGTTCCCCAGTCACTCTCCCATTTTATTGATTACTTTAAACAATGTTTGTTATTTTTTTGTACAAGGAGTATCACCTAGCTGGAGGTCATAGACCCCCTTATACCTTGGGAAAACATCTTAGTGTGTGCACAAGCAGTGTTCTGGACTTGTGCTGACCCAGCGTTCCAAGGTTCACACTATGTTTTTCCTTAGCTTAGCAGAGCATGACAACCCCAACTGATCAACCCAATGTACTTTTATTTGGGTTGTGCTGTATTGCTGTATTTTGCTTTTATTCTTTTCCCATGGTGATTTTCTCATGGCTTAGCCAGAGCAACAGGTGGCTGACTATTAACCCCTGCATATATATAATATATATATATATATATATATCTCACATTTTCTTCATTCATCTGTTGATGGACATTTAGTTGTTTCTATGTCTTGACTATTGTAAATAGTGCTGTTGTGAACATAGCGCAAATATCTTTCTGAACTATAGTTCCTTCTGGATATATGCCCGAGTAGGATTGCTGGATCATGTGGCAACTTTATTTTTAGCTTTTTGAAGAACCTCCATACTGTTTTTAATAGTGGCTTCACCAACTTACGTCCCCACCAACGGTGTGAGAGTGCCCTTTTTTCTCCACACCTCTCCAGCATTTGTTATTGGTAGACTTTTCAATAATGGACATTCTGACTGGTGTGAGGTGGTATCTCATTGTAATTTTGATTTGCGTCTCTCTAATAATTAGCAGTTTGAGCATCTTTCCATGCCCCTGTTGGCCATCTGTTTGTCTTCTTTGGAAATATGTCTGTTTAGGTCTTCTGCCCATTTTTTAATAGGGTTATTTGCTTTTTTGTTGTTGAGTTGTATGAGCTGTTTATATATTTTGAAAATTAAGCTCTTGTCAGTTGTATCAGTTGCAAATATTTTCTCCCAATCCATAGATTGTCTTTTCATTTTGTTTATGGTTTCCTTTGCTGAGAAAACACTCATTCTTTAAAGACAATACATTTCTGTGTAAACAGATACCATGATAATTGGCTGTTATTAACAAACTGCCAATTAATGACAGTTTTCCATGTATTAGTTTTTTATTTGAGGATCACAGGTGTTATGTCTGTTTTCTTAAATTTTTGAAGGGTTAAGTAACTTTCTCAAGGCCACACAGTTACAATGCGTCATAGCTGAGGTCTGTATTCTAATTTTGTTTAAAGCTTATACTGTCAAGCTCTACGTCATGCTGCCCTAATAGAAAGCCCAGCAATATTTGACTCATGGATTTACGAAGTTTAGTTCTAGTCCATTCCTCCCATTTAGGTTGTAAATATTCTAATCTAGGTTATCTCTGATAAAAATACTTGTCTGTGAATATGCCTAAACCTGTGCACCCCTGTGTGGTGAGTATCCACCCAGTGTTCTAGATTGGTTTCTCCTGTATTCAAGGCTTCTGCTTGTTTGTTTGTTTCTGACTCCTGAGAGATTGCTTTGGGCCTCTTTATACATCCTAGGGAAGACCTGAAGGCAGTCTAGAAGCAGTCTCTTTTGGGCTTTAGGAAAGTAGTATTAGTCCCTCAGTCATGTCCAAATCTTTGTGACCCCATGGACTGCAGCCTGCCAGGCTCCTCTGTTCATGGGATTTCCTAGGCAAGCATACTGGAGTGGGTTGCC